TGTGTGTGTCTGTTGGTTAAGTGGTGTGTAGCTAAAAACATTCTCACGACCTCTAGTAACATGTCGTGGCTTAAACATAAGAACCTATTATGGCTAAGGCTACAGTTATACACATCATAATAATAATATTAAACATCCTGTCTGCTGACAGTCATCAACTCTTCTCTCTAGTTATCCTTGACCAGATGTACCCTGTAGAAACTCATAAGCATGCCTAAGCATTTAACAGTCTAACTAGACATCCTATTTCTATCTGACTAAAAATACCTAACAGGACCTAATGGATCAAACTGTGATAATACATCACCTTTTCAGAGTACTCTCTGACACCCAGAAATTATTTTTTGTCCATTTCTTTTGTAATGACAGTGTATGGGCCAGTGTGCTTTACATGACTTTTTAAACGTGGGGACTCGAACTCCATAGTTTTATGAGAGGATTGTGGACAACAACAGCAGTGACTGGGAGGAACAACCTGCCTGATGTAAACTTGACTGTGCTTTGTTACTGGACTTCCCTGTCAGTCATATATCACTAACAATCTGTCACAATCTTGTTAGATATTAGTAGATCAGTTAGATAACTGTTAGACATTAATGTGTTAGTAATGCAATTTAGTAAGATTTAAAGTTTGCTCTAGTCTGTTTTGTTTTAAGGTTAGCAGACAGAATGTTGATTCTGAAAAGTGAACCATGACACTAATTCTTTTCCTGTATTAACCTTGTATTAGAATATTGTGTCTGAATAAATGAATGAATGCCTTAGCTACACACCATGTGAATATACACACACATTGAGATTCTTCATTTTGTTATGACTAGGTAAAAATACAGCTGCTCAAAGCATGTGGAGCACTAGATAAGAGATGGAGTCTTCAGATTGGCTTCATCTGGGGATTGTTTTGCTGGGCAAAAGGTTAGCCTAAACCTTATACCTTATATCTAATACATTTGTATTAGGCTCTGTGTGGCCACGGACTCCACTTTCCAGCAGCCTGTGTGTATGTCTCAGGAAGGGGGAGCAACCAGGGCCATGTCTGTAATTTTTACTTGTGGTTAAAATAAACCAGTACTAGATGAAGAAAGACAGACTCCTTTGTTATTCAGAGCTGTCCAATTAAAGAACTGGGGTATTACAACCTGAATGTTTTTAATTAAGATTTTGTGCTCTAATATTACAGTGTTTTAAATGTAGTTTAAATACATATTCATGTATAAGTTACATATACAAATGCTGTGTTGTATCCTATATTTGGTTTAAAGTTATTAATCATTAGGTGTAGAACTTTTAATTGTGGCCTGTCTAGGGATGACAGATGAAAATTTGTTCTGAGCCAACTCTGGAACCACACAGTATCATAAATGGCAACATACTGTACATACATATGATAAAGAAGCTTGGTTTGCTTTCTTACCATGAGCTTGATGAGGAGAATACCACTATCGTTTCTGTACATTAAACGTGAAGCTACTGCTAGCAGCCAGTTAACCTAACAGGAAAAGGGCCAGTCTGGCTCTGTCCAAAGGCAGATCCCTGTCATTATTATGAAGTTGCTGACAACCATCAGAAATTTCATGAAGTCACTGTGCCCAGCCAAGACATACTCCAGCACATATTTATAATCCTAAACTGGCAGCTGGCTTTTGTTGCCTTTTGGCTACTGTAGCCGTTTCCCGCTGCTTCCAGTCTAACTGGGTGCAGGCTGGAGCTTTATGACTATTCTGCAGACACAAAAGTGAGATCAAACTGCTCATCAACCTTTTGGCACAAAATCAAACAAGCATATTTACCAAAATGTCAAATTTTATTAAATTATGTTCCTTACAATACACCTGGTTAAACAAATTAATAAAAACTAGACTTTAGGAAAAATTCTTAACTGACCAGCAGTCCATTGGTGCCATGGATGGTTACGCAGCGGGAGAAGGAATGGTGGATAGACAGATCGCTGACGGAGGTGGGGGGGTCGTAGCCTCCCCTCTCATCCACATCTCCATTCATATGGAAATGGACTGGATAGTGTCCCATTGTCTGCTGGCCCATGTGCTGTAACTCCAGCCCAGATATATGCACTGCCCTGAAGCCCCGCTCAACCTGAAAATGAGAGCAGATAAATATCAGACACTCCTTCAGGGAGGCCAGGTTGATGCATGCACCAAATAAGAGCTATAATTGGGTACAGCAAAGGAAAGCAAATGAGAGTTTTAAGCTACAAAGCTTTCTGTATCTGTATGCATGGCTTTCATCAGCAGATGGCATGTGCCCAGTTCGCATGGAGTGGGAGATGTTCATCCATCTATCATCTGCTGATGAAGACCACGACACAGTTGAAACCTACAGCAAAAGCTACAAATTATGGTTGCTCCAGAGACAAAGCACAAACATTAAGGTCACTATTGAGTGAAGTATCTTAAAGAACTTGTACAGCCTTATCATCCCAACAGAGCACTTCGCTCTCAGAGTGCAGGTTTACTTGTGGTTCCTAGAGTCCACAGAAGTAGAATGGGAGGCAGAGCCTTTAGCTATCAAGCTCTGCTCCTATGGAACCAACTCCCAGTCTCAGTTCGGGAGGCAGACACCCTCTCTACCTTTAAGATTAGACTTAAGACTTTCCTTTTTGATAAAGCCTATAGTTAGGGCTGGATCAGGTGACCCTGAGCCTTCCCTTAGCTATGCTGCCATAGGCCTAGGCTGCTGGGGGGGCCCATGATGCTCTGAGTTTCTTTCCCCTCCCCTCCCCTCCATGCTTCTGCTTGTGACCTACCCCAATGAACAGATTATAATTAACTAGAAAATTGCACTTACTGAAGAAAATGCATATGGCTGCTGAGTGCTGAAAATTCGCCCTGAAAATGCTAAAAATTTTGACACCTGAATGTTTTTGCTAGCTGAAACTATGCTGAAGTTGGAATTTTCCCATTTATTTCAATGGGGCAAGATTTTTAGAATAACGCTAAATAGTTTAAAAGTATGAAGTTTAGAAAACTTATGAATAGAAGCATGAATGTTCTTGAAGAGCTGAACATTTTGATAGCTGAAATTATGCTGAAGTAGAATTTTCCAATTCATTTGAATGGGGCAAGATTTTTAAAATAAAGCTAAATATTTAAAATGTATGAACTTTAGAAAACTTCTGAATAGAAGCATGAATGTCCTTGAAGACCTGAAGATTTTGATAGCTGAAATAGCTGAAAGTTTGCTGAAGTAGAATTTTCCCATTCATTTGAATGGGGCAAGCTTTTCAAAATAAAGCAAAAATATT